GATTCTATGTATGTCTCTCTGGGGCTCCAGCCTTTGCATTTCCTTCGTAAATTTCCCTGTAGTTCGATTACAATTTCTTAATAAACTTGGCCATTTTGTAAAAATATTTTGTCAGATATGACTACCTCATCGTTTGATCATTGGGAACATTAAGAACACAAAAGATGTGGATAAATTTGCTTTGTGTGGGTTCTTCATGCTGCTGAATACGAAATTGTTTCTTCGGCTGAACACTCGAGTAACTGGTAGTTCTTGATGCCTATTTTGAATTTGCATAGTTTTTATCTTTGTTTCAATGGGAAAATTATTTTCTGAGTTTGCGTGTACTGTTACTGATCTACCTTACCTTTTAGCCTTTTAAGAATTCTTGTATATTTTTGGGAAAGTTTGTAATCTTACGTTCATTGGACCAAGTCGTATGTGACAGTGAAAGTTTCGTGTCATCCCATGTACCAAATCCATCCCCGAGCATTTAAATGCATTAATGCAACATCTAAATACAGTCTGCAGATCTTTTGGTCTAATCAGAAGGTGGTTGATCCCCCTTCACCGTGATAGGCATGAGATTTGGATAAAGGGCTGTATAACGAGTAACCATATGAGAGCTTCAATATGTTTTTATGCATGAAGACCCTGAAAAGGCTTTTTAGATGGGATTGCCTGGTATTTCTCAATGCATGGTAACTCGTGGCCAATGGTGAAAAAATTTAGAGATCAAGAGACAGGTACTAAACTTTGACTGTCTTGTCTTGATCGCCTTTAATTGAATTGTGGTTTATGTCTTGGTATCTCTCCTTTTCATCCTATACGTCCGCAGACATGTATGCTGGGTCATGTATGTCTTGAAAAGTAATAAGACTTCCTAAAACATTGTACGTATGTTTCTTGGATTCTACCTTTTGATAGACGGACTAGATTACACTTGCGATTATAGTCTTCGATTTTTTTTTTTAGCCTGGGGCTGTTCTTTTAACTCGGGTACCCTGCACTTTTTCATCTTGATGAACAGGGAATGCAGTCTTGCCCCTTTTATCTACAAAAAGGACACTGCAAATTTGGACGCAATTGCAAATTTGATCATCCAATGGGTACAGTTGAATACAGTCCATCCGCATCTTCTCTTACAGATGTACCAGTAACTCCCTACATGCTCTGTTCATCCACTGCGATGGAGGGGCAGGCCGCCGAATTTGTTGGGTCCAAATTGGATCTTCAGATTACCAGAGATCGGCCTCATGGAAGCAGTTTGAGCGGTTCAGTTGGTCTTACGTTTTCAAGGACCGCTCCTTTCTTGCTTTCCAACATTCAGATATCAGATCAGGGTTCCGGACCGAATGCTGATTGAAGCACAAGGCTGGATGGTGAAGTTCGCGTGGTTCCCGCTGAACAGTCTGCTATATAAATTTCTGCAAAATCCTTCATCAACATCATTGAATTCTCAGACTCTCCTGTTGAGTGAAGTTTCTTTTTTCATGTTTTCGTCCATGTCACTTTTTTTTTTTTTTTTTAAGTGCTTGGTCCCCGTGGCATCGGCCTTTAATAAATAAATAAAGCTGCGGTGGCCAAGCCCAACTTGGGATTAAATAAATACTCCAATCGTCTTTTTGACATAAATTATTTACCTTGCAAGTTAACTGATGGCCCTACACATGATAATCCATGTATTGCCTGCATTCACATACTAGTAATGTAATAACTTTATCATTATTATTTCAGAAAAAAAATCCTATTCAGGTGTCCTTCCTACTGTCTAAAAAGCCTGAAATTTGGCCTTTTGACTCGAGCAACGGAAAAAATTGCGGCCAAGAGTACTAGAAGCATGCATGACAGCATTACAATTTACTAACCGAAGATAGACGACAATTCGGCACTCATAAAGCCATATGGCACGAGATTAAAAATGGATGGGATCATCATCATCATACACGGAGGATAGGCATATCATAATTTGATCCTGCATTTATTTATGGCATCCAACAGAGTACTTTAAATTAAATTGAATGGCTATGTATGTATCATGATCAGGGAGGGTAGCCCAAAAAATATGCCTTCGATATTGCATTTTGGCATGAGTGCCTATCATTTGGCTGATCTGTACACATTTTTCATGGCCCTTTTTTTTTACCAAGTCTAAAGAACAATCATTAATGTGTTCCCGGCTGAAATAAAAGCGTGCGTATGTGACCATGGCCCATTGTCGACCTAAAGCCGTAGCACACCAGGCTTCCTCCGACGTCCGTCCCAACCTCCTGCTGCTCTACTATATTAATTAACTAGTTTTGTACCCGTTCGTTGTTGAACGGGAATCGTCGAAAAACAATAAACTTTAGTCAATTCATAAAAATGTCGATATAAAATACATATTTAATGTATAATCTATTATGACTTGTTTTAAGTATATTACTATGTGCGCGTTGTAATGTAAAGCATTCTTATAATATAAATTTGAACATCTAATTCAGTGAATAATAATTCAAAAATAAAAAAAATAACATTCAACAATACCATAACATTCAAAAACTTAAAAATAAATAAAAAGTGCAGTAAATAGTATCAAATAATATTCTACTATTCAGATACTTGTTTTTGTTTTTGTTTTTCTGTTTGAACATTCTCCTCGATTTGTCCGTGCAAATCAGCATTTATTGATTTTTCATTATCACTGCATGATAGCAAATTAGGATAAATAAATGATTTATCGCATTCAAATTTGTGTATAACAATACGTAAAGATTATAATTAAGTAAACGGCCAGAGTCTTTTAATTAACTAATGAATTTGCAGATATATCTAATGGAAATATTTATGTCTCTTGTATTTATATCGCATTACTTTCCAGTGCCTTTTATTTTTTGTTGTTTTTCCTGAAGGCAAATTAACAAACATCGTAGTATATGATCGCAAAAATAAATTAACAAACATGTTAGAAAAAATCCTACAAAAATAACGATGAAAGTACTTGTTTAAATCCTATGTCTTCATACAAAACAAATAGAAAATAAAACAAAAAAAATAAAATTCAAGATATGGTACTAAGTTCTCACAATTGAAGATCAACATGTCTTTTTAAAAAATATATATATATATATTGAAAGAAGATATACCTGATAATCAAGAGAAGTGGAAACCCAAAATCGATATTTTAATATGCCAACCGCTTGCACTGAAAATACCTAACCATGAATTTGATGTTTGAAATCAATATATTAGAGACTATATGTAGTGTAGACATATGAAATAAAAATTGATAAGAATACAAAAAGATATTGATAAGAACATTAAAAATATGTTTATCTTAATTGAAGTTGCTTAAAGTACGTAACTTTATGTAGGAAATAAGAATCCTAAAATATTAAGAATTCTTATAAGAAATAAAACCATAATCGTCCAAATAACTTTGGGTATGAAATAAGACTTTACGTGACCCGTACTATGCATGTATATAAACCTGTACGTAATAAATTTACAAATGTGTTATCAAGATAGATTTTACCGACCTTAAAATACCACCTCCACTATATTGAGTCTTTTAAGTGTATGGACTCCTATGATGTGAGTCCACACACGAAATACTCCTCACTATCTGGGCAGAGATGTATTGTGATTAAGGAATTATTAGCAAAAATATATTAAAAAAAAAGACAGGCGGAGGACACTACGGAAGGAGGTCTTTTTCTTGGATTGGAAAATACTACGGACGGAGGGTCGGGTAGGAGCCTTCGGGGTGCAAAACTTCAACAAATATTTAATGTTTTATCTCATCTTTCTTTAGCTATGATAATGAGATTTTATTTCTTTGGTCGATGACACTCCATTTTCTTTATGGACTTTTTCAGAATTTTTTCAATCAAATGAAGTGCTATTTCTCTTTGTACATCAATTATGCATGGGGACTGTGAGTCTTGTAAAAACTTTCTCGGGTTAATTTTCTTTAATTTCCATATCTAGATTGTTTGTATGTTGTTCTATATATGGATAGATTATCTTAAAATAAAAAGAATCTATGATGAAACTGTTAAAAAAAAAAAGAATAGGACACTATAAAAAAGTATATTATCATTTATTCCTATATATGTAATAGAGAAGATTTTATGTCTCTTTTATTTATATCACATTACTTTCCAGTTTCTTTTTTGGGTAGGAAATAAGAATCATATAATATTAAGATTTTTTATAGAAAATAAGAATTGATATATGTCTAAACAAAAAAGGAGCAAGTCACGTAGGAAACTACTTGCCGTCCCGTTAAGCCACGTAGGAAAGAGAAAATATGAAGAGATAAGTACGAGAATACGACTTTATTATATATATATAAGTATGATATATATGATTAGTTCCACGTTCATGACTTCTCCAAATTCTAGTTGATTTTTGATGGTTTTAATTTTTTATTTTTTTAACTTCGATTGGTTAATAAGTACCGTGCCAAATATATTATTTTTATTTCTTTAGCATAATTCTTGATATACCATACTTTATTTTTTTGAATGAGAAGGGGCAAAAGGAAAAGAGGAATGAGGAGGAGGAGGAGCAGCGCGGCAGAGTCACAGTGGTGGTCCTCTGCAAAATGAGCAGTCGTCCGACATTTAACCTAATGATTTACTGCGGTTCTAATCATGAACCCTAATCGGAGTCTATTTTAAGATACTCCACTTAAATCAGCTTTACACATAATTTAGGAATATTTTAAGGTAATCTTTATGCGTTGGCTTTCGCTAGGCTATGATTACAGATCCCAAAAGCACTTGCAATTCTTGGAGGAATCCCGCTTTCCTTTTAAATCTCTCCTCTCCTCTCCCCCAAAAACAAAAGCAAAAAAAAAAAAAAAGAAAAAGAAAAGAACAGTAAGTAAAGGGTTGCATGTAGCGAGAAAGTCGCTCCTCATGAGTCCTCCCCCCCAACTTTCACCGAAAAGTTGACGCATTTTCTTGACTTTTCATTAGAGATTTAACCAAATTGAATATGGAAACACTCATTAAAGCGCCACGCAACACAACCATTTCAATTCAACCCAAACCCCTTTCAATCTTTGCATGAGTTCATGTGCCTTTCTCCTCACTCCTTTCATTAGCTTACCTTTCTGCCTTTCTCCTCCTCCTTTCCTTCCTCAATTTTAGCCTTTTCCACACCACGGCCACAAAAGGTCTTCCTGGTTAGCGTGTGCATTTTTTTTTTTCCTTGACAAGCTAAGGTCTAAGCTATGCCGGCGAGACATATGTACGTTATCAGGAGAGAAAGGCTGAACTAGCTTAGCTGGGAGCCGGTGGAGGAGATGGGAGTAGTTACCGTAGGTGAGCTGAAGCCAAGCATATCAGGAAAGAGATCATTCCGCCCCAGTTCCAGTGCAAGACATGTAACCGAATGGTAACTTTACTTTCCTTTTGCTTTGCAATGCTGCTTCCTTCCTATGCGTCGACGGACGTACATTAACCATATATAATTTTGGATACTTGGTTGTCATCTTCAGTCATTTTAGTCCCTTGGTACAATTTTTTTTTTTGGGTTGCTAGATTCTAGTTCTGCCTAGTTTTTTGGGTTCCCCTGCATCTGTTTAACTGGCTTGTGGATCAAGTGCATTTTGAAGATTATAGGCAGAGGTCAATGGCGGACATGGTCAGATGCACTTCTCGTCTCAAAGTACCAGTGGCGTAATTTTACCCACTTGCCGACCGACCTTGTTTTTTTTCTTCTTTCTTGCTAGTCCCCAAGGATTTGCCTGCATCACATCGTATTGTACCACATGATTCCTTTCTTATCAGAATATATTTCTGTCCCAGTTATTCAACTAATCAGGTTTATTTACATGGATGGATATTGCAACTTTCGTTCACAGTAAAAGGAACCTCATTCTTTTCTACTACTACTATCATTTTCATTTTTCACTTACGGTTTCAAGTGGGTATACTTCTAATGATAACATACATAAATAGTTCCCCCCCCCTCCCCCCTCCTCACTTCTTTTTTTTTTGGTGTGTGTGGTGGGTGGGGCTTTTCCTGGAAGCTTTTAAAGGAGGGATTGACCATATAATCTCAGAATCCAGATTCTATTGTAGCTGGCTCCCAAAATGTTGTTCCGTGTCGGATGATAGTATCGCAAGTCTCTGTCTCGGGTCCAAGTGTCCAACCAATCAATGTGAACATATGATCAAAGAAAGCGAACAGATCCCATGATCGTCTTAATGCTTAAATGATTGATTAGGACGCGTCAGCCTTTAGCCTTGAAACTTTTGGCACTTAGATTTCAGATGTCATAACTTGAGGCTCAGCCTCGATTTGCAATCTTCTTGCCCGGAGTTCCTCAGACAGCTACCATACGCAGTAGCTGTTGGAAAGTGACTGAACTCACAAGATTGGCCTAAAATGACAACACAACAGGTGGTTAGAGTTCAATTTCAGGTGAAACTTTTTCTATGCCTTGCAAAAACTATAAGCTGTCCCACCCGTTATCAATTTATGTCTCAAGCGTTTCAGATGCTGCCATCCATGTGTAAGTACCAGTTAACCAACCACTAAGAAGATGACAAAGAAAAACGGGCTAAGGGCTTTATGGAGTTTCAATTGAAGTTCACTTAATTGGAAAAATATCTTCGTTCACTCGTGCATTGAGAAAAGAAAACAATGATATTTTCTCTTTTAGGTTGTAATTCAAGTTAACAGCCATGTATGCTTTGTTACCAACGACTCTTTCTTCTTTCTGAACTTCTACTGCGAGCTCTTGTACTCATTTGACCATCCCCCCTTTTTCCCCCCTTTGCAGGCCTATATCAGATGTTTCTAGTGATCTTACAATCGAAGTCAGCGCAACAACTTTTTCGCTTCACAAGGTAAGATCATATAAGAAAAAAAAAATAAATCAGGCTTCATAATTGTATTCTGCTCTTTTAGTTATTTGACAAAAAACTGAGACTACTTGCTGTAGAAAAGGTGCATATGTCGAATTTGATCGTAGAATATTAAATGATCAAGCAGTTCATGTATATGACGCTTGTGCAGGACTGTTAGACATTACTAACAATCTTTTACAGTTCCCTCTAGTTTCTCGAAGTGGTAGAATAAGGAAATTGTTGCTAGAAGCCAAGGATTCGAAAATTTCAAGACTGAACCTCCATGGCATTCCTGGTGGATCAGAAGCATTTGAGCTGGCTGCAAAATTCTGTTATGGAGTGAACACTGAGATTACCGTATCAAATGTTGCCATGCTGCGATGTGTAGCCCATTTTTTGGAAATGACAGAAGAATTTTCTGAGAAGAACTTGGAAACCCGAGTTGAAGTATATCTGAGGGATTCCGTGTTCCCAAACATTTCCAACTCTGTATCTGTACTTCACAACTGTGAAAGCCTCCTACCGATCTCAGAGGAAGTTAACCTGGTTAGCAGGCTAATTAATGCAATTGCAAACAATGCTTGTAAAGAGCAGCTAACCTCAGGCTTATCCAAGCTGGAATATAACTTCCCTTCAAAACCAATCCAAAACATGGAGGCTGAAACACCGTCAGACTGGTGGGGGAAGTCTCTCACAGTGCTGAATCTTGATTTCTTCCAAAGAGTTCTGTCAGCAGTTAAGACAAAGGGTCTGAAACCGGACATAATTAGCAGGATTTTAATTAACTATGCCCAGAACTCCCTTCAAGGGCTCATCGTAAGGGATCCTCAACTCACTAAAGGTACTTTCTTGGATCCAGACTTGCAGAAGAAACAAAGGATTACTGTTGAAACAATAGCAAGTTTACTGCCAACACAGTCAAGGAAAAGTGTGGTTCCAATGGCATTTCTTTCAAGTTTGTTAAAATCTGCAATAGCGTCTTTAGCATCTACGTCGTGCAGATCTGATCTAGAGAGGCGGATCGGCCTGCAGCTAGATCAGGCAATTCTTGAGGATATTCTGATTCCTGCACATTCACATGGAAACAACCACACACCGTTGTACGACACTGAGTCAGTCTTGAGGATTTTCTCTTTTTTCTTGAATCTGGACGAGGATGACGAAGAGGATCATCAAATGAGGGATGAAAGTGAAATGGTGTACGACTTTGACAGCCCAGGATCACCTAAACAAAGCTCAATATTTAAGGTGTCAAAATTGTTGGACAATTATCTTGCAGAGGTTGCACTAGATTCAAACTTTACAGCGTCGAAGTTTATAGCATTGGCAGAGTTGCTTCCAGATCACGCTCGTGTGGTCTATGATGGATTATATCGTGCTGTTGACATATTTCTCAAGGTGAGCAATTCTCTCATTCTGAGCATTTTCTGGTTAAGAAGTCCACTGCCGCCAGTAAGTACTCTTGGCAGGAAAGAAGTGTCTCTAAATTGACAAGATTAGTGATATAATTTCCTGTATTAATGGTAGGTTCACCCCAACATCAAGGACTCTGAAAGGTACAGGCTATGCAAGACAATCGACTGTCAGAAACTGTCTCAAGAAGCTTGCAGCCATGCGGCTCAGAATGAACGGTTGCCCGTGCAGATGGCAGTTCAGGTGCTGTATTTTGAGCAAATCAGGCTGCGGAATGCAATGAATGGAGGCCATAATCAATTGTTTTTTGGGTCGATGATGAACGGTCAATTCCCTCAGCGATCAGGCAGCGGCGCAGGAAGCGGATGCATCTCACCAAGAGACAACTACGCATCAGTCAGAAGAGAAAACAGAGAATTGAAGCTTGAAGTGGCAAGAATGAGGATGAGGCTAACAGATTTGGAGAAAGATCACGTTTCCATGAAACAGGAGCTGGTTAGATCTCACCCCACCAACAAGTTATTCAAATCTTTCACCAAGAAGTTAAGCAAGCTAAATTCATTATTCCGGATTATTGACATAAAGCCTATTGGAGGCAAAGCTCATTCAGAAACGCGATTTCCTTTCCAAAGGAGAAGGCGTCACTCTGTCTCATGAGTCGTAACCGTGAAAGCGTGGATGATATACTCTGTATAGATCGGCTTTGTGATTTTTGTTTGGTAGTCGTGAGCCCTTTCTTTTTCCTTTTCTATATAGAATCTTGAAAAAAAGGATACACCCAAACAAACTATGTATTATTCCTGTTGTATTCTGAGGTGTGTGAGAGAGTTTTCATGAGATGTAAAAATTAATTATATTTCCAGTTTGGGTTCTTCAATATTTGATTACACGCTACTTTTTAATTAACTAGTGAGAAAAAGTAGGCCTTTGGGCCATTAATACGCGCGCCATTACGTTCCAAAAAGAAAAAAAAAGTAGGCCTTTGGGCCAGTTACCATGACAGATCACTGAAGAAAGTAGTTGGTTAAGAGCCCATTAACACGCGGGTTTAACAGCGGAGGCGAGTAAAAGGAGTTGGATCTCTTATCTTCTGGCTGGATTTCCAAGTTCAGGCTTGGATCTCTTATATTTTGTTCTTTAGGTTGCTTTGTCAAGAATTAAGGGAAACATCAATAATCCCCGAATCAGAGTTGGGGGGGTTTCCAGTTTGATGGTAGTGGTGTTAAATTGGTGAAAGTGTGTATTATTACTAGCAAGAATGGCATTTTCATTAAGGAGGGTAGCCAACTCGCTGCCCTTCTCGGGGCTTTTCAGGTAGATTCCTTTCACTTCCTCCTCATTAACGGAAAAATTGACATTTTGTTTCTCGTTTTCTTCGAAGACGACTGGGATTGAGGATTTTTGCTACTCCGCTGCAATTGGCAGCCTAGAAATCGAGAGTCCGAATTATTTTAGTGCTAAATCAGTTGAGCTTATAATCAGGCTGAATATTTCCTTTCTGAAATTTTGAATCTTTAATCTTGAGAGCTTATTTGTGGACAAGTGGCGCCTTCTGTGAACTTTATTGATTTTCCTTTAGTTGGTTTCTGCTGTCTGATGAACAAGACGAGCATTGTGGATTTGGTGAATATACACATGTTAGATTTAGCTTCTTCTTCTTCTTCTTCTTTTTTTTTTTTGTTTTTAAATGTGTTTTTCGAAGGGGCTGGGGGTGGGGTGTGTTGTCTTTACCTTTTACGGATTCTCTTAGTGTATCCTCTTCTGTGTATTGTATTGCCTGAGTGTTCGTAGAATTGGCAAGAGCTCAATACATCGACTAGCTATCCGTAGATTTTCCTTGTTATGTTTCTTGCTTGCGTTTTAGTGCTGTGTCCTATGAGTTTACTTACATAAAATACCTTTGAACAGCTATATAATTGATCCTCACAAGTAAGGTTGAGGGTTGATAGTGTAACCTTTTGAATCAAGGAATTTGCCTTTTTGACTCTTTTTTGAGTAATTCCTGTACTGTATAATTGTCTTAGATAGGGTATGTGTGTGTGTGTTCAGTCTACTCTACTATGTGCGGAGGTGTCTTAGGAAGTGTGCGGAGGTGTAGGAATGCTTGTATATTCGTTAGGATTCTCCAGTTGTTTTATCTGAGGTATGCGCAGCTATAGTCAAAGATGTAAGAACTGCTTGTGGAGCAATGAAGGGAGTTGAGAGAACTCGTGAGAATTGGGGTTTAGCCATTGAGTGGAGCTTGCGTTTTGACACTTTTTGAGTAATTCCTGTACTGTGTAATTGTCTTAGGTAGGCTGCATGTGTTGAGGTTTGAGTTTCTTGCTGTTTAGCATTTGTCTTGCTGTTTAGCATTTGTAATGCTGAGGCTTATCTCTCTTTGTGTCTCTTTTTCTTATCAATAAAAGCTACAATTTTGTGCATTAAAAAATATATGAAAAAAATGCAGTAGAACACCTGTTAGATGCATGTTGTCCATCTAGTTGGACCTTTGTTTTGAGGGCACCTTCCCTTTTTGCATTTCCCTGTAGAGAACATTCAAAGTGCTTCCCTCTGTTTTGCAGAAAACTGGAACAGGATATGGAAACTGTGATCAAGGTTTTGCAACCAGGTCCTTTGGGAATAATAGAACACAAGTTCTCTCCAGAAGAGATATGCAAGGCAAATTCTACCGTAATGACGGCAGTAGAGAATTGGCGAAGGAACGCTAAAGTTGAGCAGCAGAGCCCCATCTTCAAAGAATTTATTGATAAATGATTACTAATTGCCAGTCCAATTATTTCTTCAGTCCAACATGATAAAGGGAACGATCATGTATAAAGTCTATAGTTTTCCCTGTCTGAATTGCAACATATGTTACCATATTGCTTCTTTTTTGCGTTGATCCAGTTTTGAATCTGCATTTCAAATGATAGCTGTGTCATGCCATGTTAGGTTTACCAGTTGTTTGGTTCCAAAATAAGCACTTATACTTCACCTCCTACAACTTTTATGGAAGATGTGACTTGTTTGATAAAGGATACCATGCCTTTTTACAGCATTTAAATCAGTATGGTGAATGAAATTGGCAAAAGTTTTTGCATTTCATCTCTGCAAAAGTTAATGCCAGAAGAAAGGGGATAGAATTTCAATCTTGCAGGGGAGTGGGAGTTAAAAAGTTCGGAGACAGGTCTATAGAGTCTCTGATATCATATCTTTCGTTCTTTCAGCCCGGGAGATTTCATCATCAATGCTAGCAAATGGTATTATACACTTGACTGCAGAGTTCATTTGATCTAGTATTCTTTGAAAAACAATGCGTATACAATACAACAAATTGAGAATAGAATGATCAAAACATCAAAGGTCAAAGCTGATTTTGCCTGATCGCTCAGTTCCATGTTTCTGCCTCCAAGACGATCTACCATGTCTGGAATGGATTCCCAATTATCTACGTCTTGCATATATGGGTCTGCTAGCTTCTTTCTCATTTTGTCCGCTTCACGACTAGCTGCCTCCTGGGCAAGTGTCCAATCATAAAACTTGCGCTTTTCCTCGTTGCTTAAGATGTCATACACTTCCCTTAATTTCATGAATTGGTCTGATGCTGCTTTAAGAGGAAGTGATGTCGTGTCTGGATGATATTCCTTTGATAATCTCCTGTAAGCAACTTTAATTTCCTCCATGTCTGCTTCTGCAGATACTCCTAAGAACCTGGTAGAAAGTAGCAGGAAATTTAGCTTGGCACCTATAGTTCGTAACCCCAAAAAAGAAAAAAAACCCACCCTCACCCAGGGGAAAAGGAATACAGGAAAAAGGTGTGTAAGCTTGTAATTCACTTAATAGCAGTACAGGGAGATTTTTTGGCGCACACTTTTCACATAGTGGATTTAATTATAGTATTCTGTAATGATTGACTGGCTGCTCCTCACAAGATTCTTTGAACAAGGAACTTTGAGGTGCATGACCCAAGAGGGAGAAAGGGCAGCCACGGAAACCAGGGAAGCAATCGGGGCGGCAAGAAAAAACTAAGAAAAGGTGACATAATATCACAGCAGGAAAAGGAGGGGGGAAGGAAGACTTACTGATAATGAGAATCCGATGAACTGTTTAGAAGGTCGGAGAAGTTTTGACCTAAGAGATTCTGGTCGGTTTTGAGCTGCTCTTGTGTTGGCTGTGATTTAGGACCTCCTATCCATCCCTCATCCTCGTTCTCCCAGTGGATTCTTGTGTCAACTCCAGGCGGTGCCCTTCGTCGCTGGTTTGGACCCTGTGCTGCGGCTGCTGCTGCTACAGCATAAATACGGAGATGCCCGCGGTTTAAACCCTTTCCATGTTTTGTCACTGAAGCTGAGTAGCCCTGAGTTCGATGACTCTGGGTATGGCGGTCCTTTAATAGAGTTGGTAATGAAGTTGGTGGAACTGCAGGTGAAGCCATGCGAATCAGAAGTAGCAGCAGTCTAGTAGGAGGAGAGTATCAAGACAGTTGAGAAGAGGGAGTTTCCGGTTTCACCACCGCCACATGACATCGTGTGGTCGGCGTTTAATTCAGGTCAATTCAATTTTGGTAATATCAGTAATTGGAATATATTGGTAGTGTTATTACATGACAAATCGCTCAGCTGAACCACGGGACAGGCTACTAAATTACACTGGAGAATTTTTTTTTTCCCTGTATTTGTTCACACGCGATCTTGGGGCCACTTTTCCTGTGGCAATTTAGTGTTATTTTTATATTTATGTCAAGTATCCTATTTATTTAATTTGTCATGTATTGCTTATTTAAATTTCTTCTATCATTACGTGATAAGTGAGATTGACACTGAATTTGGCACCGAATAGTGACATAGAGGATTGCAACTGGTATTTGTTAGTGTTGAAACTTATTGCTCAATATTAATAGTAGTCAATGATTAGGACCATTAATAAAGTCGGGTCAGACCAAATTCTACTAATTTAGCACAAAAAAAATTCATTGAACCCAAGTTTTAATTGAATCGAATAGAGTTTGGATCTAAATATTAGATTCGAATTAAATATGAGCTAAATTTGAGTTATATTAGGCTCAGATTCGATTAAGGATCAACCCATATATGAATATAATTATACATGTAAAAAAAATATACTAATAATTGTAATTTATAATTATCTATATTATATATAAAGGGAGAGGAGAGGGTTTGAAATAAACAAAAATCTGTCACTTTATATACTTTCTAAACTACCTTTAATGATGAGGGAAGTTATGGTGTAGACAAAAATTAATTTATCTTTGATCACTATTCACTATCAATATGATTTTTTCATATTCTATTTTTAACTTATTTAATAAATCTTAATTTTAATTAGCAACTACAAATTATGGTTATAAATAACTACTACTTTTTATAACATTTATTTTGGTAAATTTTTCTACATATGTATTTTCAAAATATAAAACCAAGTTTCTTGAAAATGATTTCAATAAATATATTCAAAATATTTCACAAATATTTTTTTTATTAGTTAGACACACATTAGTGTGTACCTTGAATACTAGTACACGTTATGACATAAAACGTTAATAATTTATATGTAAAGTTGTATTAATTCATAATTATAAAATATATATATTTAATTATGAGTTTGGGCCAAACTCAATTTGAACCCGAACCTCATATATAATAGCGTGAGTGAGTTGAATTTGAATCTTTTTTAACATGAGCTCAAAGTCCAATATTTTAAATTCATAAACCTGACTCAAAAAATTCGATTGACGCCCTATCTATGATTTGACGCGGGCTTTCTCTCACTTTTCCTGTAAGCTTGGGCGGTCGTTAGCATAGGACGGAGTCAACGGACACTTTGATTAAATTCCAATTGATATCTAGGTAATGTTGCCTTTTGTTTTTTGTTAAATTCAT